CCCTATAAACATAAAAACGGCTCTGGTTCAACCCCACTGATAAGCTTTTAGTAGGAATGACGAAGCTTGGCTCTTGACGTAGCATGGTTTGGACTAAACAAATGATTCTTAAATTTTTTGGGGTATTTATCTCTTCACAACAATAGGTATATTTGAAAAATTTTAACTTTTGTTAAAAACTTTTCAATCTGAAACAAGTTTCAAATGAAACCCTCGTTGCAAAAAATTGCAAACAATTCACAAAATGTCCGCCTTTATTTTTATATGTATGCTAATAACGTATGCTAATAAAGTAGTAACAAGTTTTCAGTTTTATTAAAATATCACATTTTCAAGTATTTCATCATTTTGCAATTTATAACACATTATTATAAAAATGAACATCAATGAAACAATGAATTTAACAATTTTCAGCCCAGGTGAAAAATGTGCTTAACGATTTTCAACATCAGTTTTTTAAGAGTTTGGTATGGATATGAGAAAGGCATTTTTCTTTCTGTTGTTGGAATACATTTTCGAAACAGCCGCTGCAAAGCTTACCGTAACAATTATGAAAACAATAGCAAGGAAAACTACTCCCAATCTTATTTCTGGAATTAAAAATGAAAACAATTATTAATGTTGAGGGAGTCAGTTCTTACTTCTCTATTTTTCACAGAAATTTTCTGTCGATTCTCTTATCTTGTTTTGATAATAACTTAAATAATAGTTAAAATAAATAAAAAAAAGCATCAGTTTAGTTCATTTGGACGACACTTATCAACAAATGCAGTGTTATCAACCCGGAATTTCTTGTAAATCAGAACGATAATAGTATATAACGATAAAGGGTAATACGAAAATAGAACAGTAATAAATAACGATAATAGAACGATAATAATCAATAAGAAAGCAAAGCATTTTTTTAAAACTTTATAAATATTTAAAGCTCAATATGCAAATTCAGTCTTCTATAAGATTGTGCAAATTGCTAAATTTCATTAAGCCAATTGTGAATCATCAATTTTACAACCACTTAAATATTTAGAAAAATCACTAGGGGACGGGATACCCTTATTGGTAGGGCGTTCAATCCCCTCCAGCCGAAGACTCCCCGTGTAGTAAATGATTACTGGTGCATGTTTAATCTGTCGGGTCACAAAGTCCTCAATAATCCCATAAAAAAAATCAATACCTCTAGGGGTACTGAATTGGAAATTGATCTTTCTCTGGTTCAGATCAAAATTACATTCTGTGGATGTATGAATGAGTCCACCCTATAAACTGGCTGTGACTATAGTCACAGCCAGTTTATAGGGTGGGGTGTTATAGTGCTTGACTGAAGTTGTATTCTTGACCATCGATAGCGCCACTGAAGAACAAGAAACGCACCTTTGCTAAATTCGCATGGTTTCACCAAGCATACTTACTGGTTGGCAAGTGGCATTAGAAGCGACAACAACACAACAGTAACTCTAGTGAAAGTCGGCAGAACTGCAAATGTAACAACTATCGAGTCACATATAGAAATCAAAGTCTGGAATTTGATTATTGGACTTTTTAATCAAAATGAATCTGATTATCATAATACTTTCATAATTTAAACAGATAGCTGAATCATATTCCGTTTCTCCAATAAAACCAGCAGTAAAAACTGCACCGCTTTCAGCAAAGGAAATTTTGAAGTGGTGTAAATAAAACTTGCTCAATTTTTTAAATTCATTTTGCATACACTTTAAAAAGCCTGTCTTCGGGAATACTGAATCAAAATGGCGCGTTTTATTATAACTTATGAATTTTTCAAGTAATGGTGAGCAAAATAACTTTAAATCAAATTTACAATACCACGAATCATACATTGAAACGCAAATTTTGCTATCAATAGAAAAAATATTATTTACAAAGCAGAGAAAATTAGAATTTTGATAATTGTTCTAGCAGTTTTGTCGAACTATCTTTTTTTCCAAACACGTCTTTCAAGTTACTTTTTCATAAACATGGATTTCAAATTTCGTTTATTCTCTTAAACAAACATGTCGAGTTATCTATTTTTTAAAACACGTAATTAAAGACGTAATTTAAAACACGTACACGTTTAAACAGTAAATTTTTTCTTAAACACACATTCACGTTTGTTTTCTTAAATATGCATGCCAGCTATTTACACAAATGAAAACAGGGAACGATTTTTACTTTATTTTAAGAAAAAGAGCAAAATGGGAAACGCCCATAAGCAATTGTGTTTTCAGATGTTAGCTAAGCTCTTCGCGGACACCTCTGCCACGTAGTGGCCTGTGACGAAGTGAGACAATGGCGCTTAGATCGCATTTGTGTAGAGATGCCTCATTTGCTTGCTGAAACTTGTAGCGTAAGGACGTTTTGAAATATCGTAGCTAGGTCCAATCCTTTCTTTTTAATTTCTCTGTTTACCTATCCTTAGTATTGCTAGTCATCATGGTCTAGACCAGGGCTGTTCAACTGCAAAGTGCCCTCGGGCCAGAATTCCGGTCACTGATCACCTGGCGTCAGCAGTTTGAAAAAGTTGAACAATAAACTCTTACCTCTTATAAAATAACAATTAATCGTTGAATTATTAATTATAAAACAATAGAACAGAAGGATTATAAAAACAATTTGCTCACATTTTCATGGGAAAACAGAGGCCGATCAGCCTAAGTAAGAAGTTGGCGGGCCTCATGCGGCCCGCGGGCAGCCAGTCGGGTAGCCCTGGTCTAGACAATACCACAAGATGGCGAACAGTTGGAAGACTTGAGGCGAGCCAATCATAGGCTACCTGTTGTAGGGATCTCGTTGCTTCGAGAAATGTGGTGTCCACTCTGTAATAAAAATTCACAGAGACAGTGGTCCGCCGACCTGGTCAAGGCAGCAAAAGGGTCACAACACCAACTGATGACCGTTATTTGAGACTTACGAGAAAGATAGGTCAGCAACACAACTGTCTCGCAAAGTGATTAATGCACAGAAACATTCATTTCACTAATAACAGTCTCTCAGAGCATTGCAGAGAGCTGGCATGCATGCAGACGGCTTGTATGTCAGGCGCCCCGTAGTCTGCATCTATTTGTCAGTGAACCCCTAAAAGGGCACCATGCCCCTGGACGCTTGCTTGCAGCTCGAAGACCTGCTCCAATGACCATCGATAAGCTCAAGAGTGCTTTGGTATAATAGTGAGTGCGGTTGCCACAAAGATTGATAAGGACGCTGTAAAACATTATGAAACGCCGATGCTAGAGTTGTGTAGCTTTTAGAGTTGATCAGATCATACACCCTACTAGACATGTATTTCTTTGACTGACGGTCGGTCAGCTGCTATGCTGGTCGAGTATAGTTTGTCTACGGTAAGAACTTCCCCCGACACAAAGTCTGAGGCCATCTGCTGCTATAGAAAGAGGAATAATGCATTTCAGGGAGGGTAGCTACTCTTCACACTAGGGCTAACACAATAGACCGAAGAAAAAGATTCCCGAGACAAAACCTATCCTAAACAGTGACTCCATATCCCTACTTGAAATAGTTATATCTCGTTACCATAGTCACCGCCACGGATTCAGATGAATGGCTAGGGGAGTACTTACTTTAGACATACTATAAACTGTTTCCTTATTTAGGGTAGTAAGTTGTGCTCATTTTGGTTTTTGCATTTATTGCTCCTATATCGAATGATAGCTTGACCAGGTTTGGTTTCATTCGTTTTGTTATTTTTATTATTGCAAAAGAAAAATATCTATTACTTTAATTGTTTTTAATATGTATTTTTGTATTTTTTCAAACACGTATCTCAAGTTATTCTTTTCTTAAACGCGCATTGCTTTAAAAAAAAAAAAAAAAAAAAACACTAGCATTTTAAGTTTAATCTATTTTTTCAAACACGTATTTAAAATTATTTTTGTTTTCTTATTCATACAATTTGAATCATGTCCATTTTTTTAAACCACGTATTTCAAGTTGAGTTGAGGAAATAAAAATGACTTGAAATAGGTGTTTATAATAGATATAGGAAGTTAAAATAAAGTTAAATATAAATGCAATGATAGATATAGTTAAAAATTGTTAATAGCATTTCCAGCTATATTTTTTAATCGCGCAAATCAAGCTATATCAATTTTTTTAAAGCGCATATCCAAAACACGTTAACGATTTGTCAAAAATAATGTTTCGATTAAAACAACGAAGTATTTAAACCATTAAAAAATTTCTAGGTATTTCCTTCTGAAACATTTCTCTCTTAATTTTAATAACAACTAAACCCAACTGAAAGCTGTAACTTACCTTCTTTTTCAAACTTTTGAGAATTGGATTCTGGCAACTGACATTCTTTTTCCCAATCATCAGGTATAAGATGCTTCGTATATTCCGTGAAGTACTTCAAAGGGCAAAATTCACTGCATCCCTCAAGTTGCAGAATATGAGGTGTTTGGGAAATCTTTTCAACATCTGTGGAGTTCAAGTAAAGCAATCGAACAAAATATGTATCATTCATGCCACTGTAAAGCTCAATGAAAACAGTTGCACAGTAAGGGGGCTGTTTCAGGTCAAAAAGTTTTAAAGACATCAAGAGGGCGGCTAAATTTGTGTCGTGCTGTAAGAAAGAAGAAAAACATATATTTTGATTAGCACTACCTTTTCATGACCGAATTTACATAAAAGTCTCATTTTAAAATAGCTGAAAAATTGATAAAAACATATTTTTTCGTATTTCATTTATCAAAGCAATCAAAAAAAAATCTTATGTATTAGATCAGTGTTTCCCAAACTTATGACTTTTGTGTACCCCTTCTAAATTTTTCGTAACGCTGTGTACCACCAATAAAGAAATGAATGTATTTTTTTAAAAATATGTTTATTTTTATTTTTTGGTATAAAATTTTGTTAATAAGTTTATTTGCATCACTGAGAAGAATGATATTGCTCTTGCTGTGATAACAGTTCATCATAATTCGGTTCTCTTGTGGTCAATTTTAGTCTGAGATGCGATTCCACGACCAATAATCTATTTCTTTTTTTCGAATTAATGTCCGCGAATGCTGAAAAAGAGACTTCACATAAATATGAAGTTGGAAAAGGCAAAAAATATTTCACAACTTTTTCTGTTGAAACTGGACTCATTTTTCGCACATGTTTATTTTTCAAGAAAGGTAAAAATTATATTTTACAAAAAATAATAAAAAATAAGTAGAATTTATTACAAACTTTTACTATATAAAAATTGCACTAAAGTTAAAAATCAGAACTGGCTGTTGGCATTACTAACTGTTAACTCTGCAAAAAATAGCCAGTAGAAAAATACGTAATCGTAAATTTTCATGGCTAGCTTTGTTTTTAAATAAATTTGTTTTAAAATTTTCGATTGTTCCAAGATATTTCGCATAAGAACGCGTACCCCCGCGAAACTGTTCCCGTACCCCTGGGGGTACGCGTACCACACTTTGGGAAACACTGTATTAGATCAATAGTTTAAAAGTCAATCATAGAAAGTGATACAAACCATGGATGTTTTTTTAAAGTTAAAGTATAGTTACTGATAAAAGAAAAATATTGACTTATTTTAAATAGAATTAAGTTAAACAATAAGCAGACAGGTTAAGGAGTTAACCTCATACCAGGACTGTCCCAAATCCAATTTCGCTTCGGGCATGGTTGTAATTTCTCTTTCTCTCTGTCCTTCTTGAGTTATTGGGTTGAAATATTTTATCAATATGGTGCCCATTAACAAAGAGATCAACAATACCACCCGTTAAGTCTCACGAGACAATATGCTGCCAAAAAGTGGTGGGCATTTAAAAAAAAAAGTAAATTAACAAGCTATCACTTTTTTCTAATTATTTTGATAAAAAATTTATAGCAAAACTATTTCATTAGTATTTTTTATGAAAAAGTAATTATCCGTCAATACCATTTTTTTTTGCTTAATTATTACTTATAACATATATACATAGTATATTCAGGGGCTGAAAACTACCAAGTGAGTCTTCAACATGTGTAAACTGTAAGGGCCACCATCCCACCTGCTTCACTGGCTGCAGTGAGCGACCAAAGAAATTAACAGGAAAAAGACCGAAGAACATCAAGAACAAGGCTACTAGACTTCTCCGCATCTTTAAAGAGATGCAAGAGCTCCTTCAAAACACCGAACTAGTGACGATGCTGCAATCACTCCTTTTGAGTCTTCAACATGTGTAAACTGTAAGGGCCACCACCCTGCCTGCTTCACTGGCTGCAGTAAACGACCAAAGAAATTAACAGGAAAAAGACCGAAGAACATCACGAACAAGGCNATTTTCCAAAAATAAAATAACACTATTAATCTATTTTTCTAATTCTTTTTTCAAATTCTGATTTTTTTAATAAGGTTTTATAAGACATACGAATTTAAGTTATTGCTTTTGATGGGCTCGATTCCGGATTTGATGGGCTAAAAATTGCGGACTAATCTGCCAAGTGTATATATATATATATTTTTTTTTTTAGAAAAAATAACACTTAGAAAGCACCTCTCCTGAAAAAAAATTTCCTTTTTACGGAAATATTCGTCTCTCCCGTTTAATTTAGTACAACCTGAAGAAGACCATTGGATCGAAGATTTTTTTTAATTATGATTTTTCATTTTTGGAAGCTTTTTTTTTAATTTTCTTAAATATACTTAGTAAGAAAACTTAGAACTATTTCATGCGTTAAATTCTGGCAATTCATTTAATTATTCAAAATATACTTAGTACAAAATAACAGTAGCATAATAACTACAATAAGATTACAACATAAGAATAACATAATAATTACAATATATTCACAATATAACAATAGCATGATAACATTTATCAGAATAACCACAATTTCAAATAAATTATGGATTGTCGCTTGGTTAAAAATCAAATTACAGTTGCCAAAAATCAATACTTGTTCCGCAAAATATTCCTAACTCCCTAAACATTTTTGACCCTTTTTTGGATCCCCAGGGTTTCGAGGACAACTTTCTAGGGACAGATGCTCTAATCAAAAACATATTCATGCCTTTTTTCTTGTATTTAAATATTTCCATTTTGATTTACTTGTATTGGTATTCATCCAATTTCTTCCATAAATTGTAGACATCTGTTTCCCTAGTGTAAAGCAACACTGCCAAGTGTATATTTTTTAATAGAAAAATAACACTTGGTGTTGCATCTCTCCAGAAAAACATTACTTTTTCAGGAAAATATTCTTCTCTCTCAATTATTTTACTACAGCCTGCAGTAGACCATAGACTCAACAATTTTTTTAAAGTTATGATTTCTAATTTCAGACGGGTTTTTTTCCAAATATACTTAATAGGAAACCATTGGATTCTGGTAATTTTCAAATTAATTTAATTACAATATAACAATAATTACAATCTAATTACAATGTAAGAATAACATGATAACTAAAATCTAATTACAATAAAAGAATAATAAAATAACTGCAACATAATTACTATATATGAATAACATAATATCATTTATAAGAATAACTACAATTTCAAATAAATTATGGATTGTAGATTGGTTAAAAATCAAATTACAGTTGCCAAAAATCGATACTTGTTCAAGAAAAAAATTCCTATCTCCCTAAACTTTTGTGAGCCTTTCATAAAATCCCAGGATTTTGAGGACAACTTTCTAAGGGCAGATACTCTAATCATGAACAGATTCATGGCTTTTCTCCTGTAATTGCCGATTTCCTTTTTGCTTTTCTTTTATTCGTATTCATCCGATTTCTTCCATAAATTGTTGACAACTGTTTCCCTAGAGTAATGCAACTCTGCTAAGTGTGTATTTATTAAAAACAAAATAACACTTAGAGTTGCATCTCTCCAGAAAAACATTACATTTTTAGGGAAATATTCTTCCCTCTTGTTTATTTTACTGCAATCTGCAGTTGACCATAGGCTCAGCGATATTTTTTAATCATTATTTATTATTTTTGGCAGTTTTTTTTATTATTTTCCATTTATACTTAATTAGGAAACTTAGAACCAATTCAATTGGCAAATTCTGGCAATTCTTTTAGCTTTTCAAAATATTCTTATCACAGTGTAAAAATAACATAATAACTACAATATAATTACAATATAACTATAACATAATATCATTTATAAGAATAACTACAATTTCAAATAAATTATGGATTGTCGATAGGTTAAAAATCAAATTACGGTTGCCAAAAATCAATTATTGTTCAAGAAAAAAATTCCCAACTCCCTAAACTTTTTTGACCCTTTTATGGATCCCCAGGGTTTTGAGGACAACTTTCTAGGGACAGATGCTCTAATCAAAAACATATCCATGCCTTTTTTCTTGTATTTAAATATTTCCTTTTTGATTTACTTGTATTGGTATTCATCCAATTTCTTCCATAAATTGTAGACATCTGTTTCCCTAGTGTAATGCAACACTGCCAAGTGTATATTTTTTAAAAGCAAAATAACACTTGGTGTTGCATCTCTCCAGAAAAACATTACTTTTTCAGGAAAATATTCTTCTCTCTCAATTATTTTACTACAGCTTGCAGTAGACCATAGACTTATCGATTTTTTTAAAATTATGATTTCTAATTTTAGATAGTTTCTTTTCCAAACATACTTAATAGGGAAACCATTGGATTCTGGCAATTTTCAAATTATTTTGATTACAATATAACTATAACTACAATCTAATTGCAATATAAGAATAACAGGATAACTAAAATCTAATTACAATAAAAGAATAATATAATAACTACAACAAAATTACTATATATGAATAACATAGTAACATTTATAAGAATAACAACAATTTCAAATAAGTTATGGATTGTCGATTGGTTAAAAGTCAAAATACAGTCGCCAAAAATCAATACTTGTTCAAGAAAAAAACTCCTAACTCCCTAAACCCAGGATTTTGAGGACAACTTTCTAAGGACAGATTCTCTAATCATAAACAGATTCATGGCTTTTTTCTTGCGCTTACCGATTTCCTCTTTGCTTTTCTTTTACTGGTATTCATCCAATTTCTTCCATAAATTGTTGACAACTGCTTCCCTAGAGTATTGCAACTCTGCTAAGTGTGTATTTACTAAAAACAAAATAACACTTAGAGTTAAAATCTGTAACATATTATTTTAAATAAAATAAGTCGCAGGGCAGTATACTTTTAATATAGAAAGTGTTTCAAAATAACATTTGTCTTAGAGCATCTCCTCTAAAAAATATGGCTCTTTTGAAAAAAGACATAGGCTGTACATCAACCAACGGAACGGGAGTACTCAAGCATATGTATAAAAGTGTGATTTTATTGAAACTGTTAACCTAAGAGAAACTTCATGTTTGAACAATTTAAGCCTAGACAGAGGTTGCCACTGTGACTTATAGTTTGAAATAAAATAAGTCACACAGCTACATTGTTCCCGAATGACAATACCTTTTCACGAGATTCTTGCAACAGCGAAAAGACATTGCACAATCTATTTTTTATAAAAGAAAATATTTTTGAAAATACATTTTTTTTTGCTGCAATCCAGAGGCAATTCCGAAAATTTACTTAATATCTATTCACAGAAATATTTTTGGAGTAATTGAATGGAAAT